GGGAATAACATAACATAACATAACATAACATAACATAACATATCATAACATAACATAACACAACGTAACGTAACGTAACGTAACGTAACGTAACGTAATGTAACATAACATAACATAACATAATATAATATAACATAACATAACATAACATAACATAACGTACATGCATACATACATATATACATTACATGTGTATATATACAGACATATCTATCTATATATATATATATTCATAAAACACACACACAGAGACACACACGTGTAAGTATATATATTATTATTATTATTATTACTACTACTATTATTATTATTATTATTACTACCATTATTATTATCATTATTATTATTACTATTATTGCTAGGATTATTATGATTATGATTATTAGTATGATTATATTTATGTATATATATACACACATGAACATACACATTTACACTACTACCTAGCACCTCCGCTGTGATGCACGGCATCAATACATCCCGAACCTGGCCTGCGTGATGGTCCCGGTCATCTCAGACATCCCGTTCCCACCGACGGGCCCACCAACGGGCCCACCGACAGGCCCACCGACGGGCCCCATGCCGATCCTTGGAGACGTGCTGAGGCACGGGCACCAAGTGAGCTCAGACATGCACGAGGGGATGTGAATGTGTGTGAGTCCGTCCACGCGCGCTGTGCTGCTTGACTACTTGTGATTTGCACTAGCAAATAGTGTGCCCAGCCAGATGCCACCTTTCTTGCTAAACCGAGTCAGGCGATTGCTTTCTTACCGGAGTATCTAGTCAATCTAGTCAGACACCCAGCAGAACGGCACTTGCTTTACATTTACATCGCAATTACCAGTGCTGTTCATGTTGCGTCCGGTTCTACTGTTGCAGACCGAGGAGGCCGGGGGCATGAAGCATTAATTTCATGCCATGGCAGATCAGCCCACGAATATCATAGCCAGTCGCAATAAACCTGGTGGCAATCCTGATGCCAAGGTGTGCACGGTGCGCCCCACTGCTGCTGTGGCATGGTGGTCCGCAACGCTGGCTGCAACGCTGGCTGCAGCGTCTGCGGAGCCTTATTCAGGATGTAGGTTCATGCAAACTCTCGCCGCGCATGCAGCAAGTGCTCAGCTCTTCTGCCGCAACCCAGCTACGGAGAAGCGAATCCAGGAGTATAATTGCTCGACAGGTTGTTGTAGTTCGTTCACAGCATCATATGACTCACTGCGTCGTGCTGCTGTTGTTGAGTTAATGCTGCTGCCGATTCTGTTGCATGGTGTGTTGCTGCTCAAATCTGCTCAAGACGAAGAACTGGAGTTCCGAATGCTGAGAACCTAAGCCTAAGCTCCTCACTGTGCCCTCCGGGCAGACATCTTCGGCCCGTGGCCGTCCCGTCTTGCCTGTCAGTCCGGAGCCAGGTTCTGATCGGCTATGGGTTCGTTGTGCCGGCTAACCAAGCTCAGGATTTTCCCCTTCGCCTATTGCTCCGGGATGTAGGAGGGAAGCGGGAAACAACTTCCCAGCAGTTTGGACTCGGAAAGAAAAAACCGAGTTGGAAAGCCAACGTGGCATGCGCGGCTGGGAGCCGTGCGGTCCATGACCACGCGGTAGCTGACGCGGGTTCCTTCAGGCGGTATGACCTGGAAAGGGCACAACGCAACAGATGCTGTTCTGTTGATGCCTTGTAGTCAGGCTGCGTGTCCGGCTCTTCACACATGAGTACAGAGGGCGAGGACTCGAAGACTAAATACGGTCGCGGGATCCTCATGCTGAGATGTCCCTTCAGCTTCCGTAGCATTGAGAAGCAATCTAAAGCTTCATCTTTGCTCGGGTCTTAAGATATGCGAGATCCACCGCTGCAAGCTTGAAGCCGGTCGCTGGGTGGCAGGCCCGGCCAAAGACGTCACAGGAAATGGGCATGACGAACATTTTCTGGCAGGAGAGCGGGGCTCAGGAGAAAAGTAGCGATGGAGAGCATGTAGAGATGGAAAATGCGAACAAGCCGACACGAAAGTGGGCACAATGCAGAACTGCAGGGACGAAGCCTGCCCGTCGTCTTGAAGAATGAAGCCATACCTTGACCATGGCTTGGTGTCCAGATTCTAGACGGGCGCTTGCGCTTCGCGAAAGCATGTTCAATTTGAGCACAACTGGGGTCAGCACTTCTCCCCTGTCTGCTGGATGGTTCCGGAGTGATCCAAGGCCCCTTGTGCAGCCGCCATCCCCGCGGCCTGACACAAGTGTGACAGTGCCGCCTGCGCCACAGGCTGCCACTTTCCGAACCTCTGGCCGGACGGTTTCTGCTCTGGGTCTGCCCGTCTTGCTGTCCACCACCATCTCAGGAGCGGCAACTGATTCTTTCCTGTCTCTGAAGCCAAGCATTTGCAGCCAGAACAATTGCCAGGTATCCGGCTGTATAGGAAACTCTCGTTCCGAGTGGCCTCACACGTCTGGCGCGTGGTCTGGCAAAACACAGCATGCTCCGAAGCAGTAGCACTCCGTTGCCATTGCCTCTTCGATTTACTGAGCTCTGGGACGGGAAGCCGACTTCTCCCGTGAGAGTAGTACAGGACCCAGGAAGCACCTCATCTTGTTGGAATTCATCTCCAGTTGGCGAGGCAGACATGAGGGTGCATTGATGTGTACAAAGAATCTGCATCTTGTCTGCTTCGAAGAGCACCCATCTTCACAAGGCAGGGCCACGAGGCGCCGACTACTTGGTACGAGTGTCCAGAAATGGCATACTTGTGTTACTTCCTATGTGCTGCTGAAACCCTGGGTCTGGTTGTAAATCACGCCCAGGAGTGGTCTCAGGCACAGGCAAAAACCTTCTCGTTTGCATCGGACTGGATGAAGCCGTAGTTGGGGCCAACCTACCGCTGGCAATCGGACCGGGGATCCTCTGTGGTTACCACTCAGGAAAACGCTTAACTTCTAATACCAAATACAGCCATAGCAACAGAAAGAAACAATCGCGTAAGCGCGACCTGGAATAATTAAGAAACAATACTGCCGATCAGCACATGCAATACCACCCACAGCAAAGAAGAGAGCAATGCGCACCACAACTGCATGGCGGCAGCTTCGCAACAAGTGATATGCACTGTGGCAGCAGGATGTGTCCGGCATCAGCAGTGCAGAAGGTCTAGGAAACCGAGCCCTTCCGACAGCCGGCCAGCCACCACAAGCAAATGCGCAAAGGCTCGCAGCATTGGGCAACCTAAACCGCAATCATTTATCAAAGCCTCCTGCCTAGTATGCGTCTAGTATTATCTTGTTTTTGCATCTGGTCTTTACCTTCTTGCCTCCCGCAACAGACCAGCTTCGGTGTGTGAAAAACACTGTGAACCCAAAACTCTTCAGCTTGCATCGCGAGAAACGTATTATTATAATGACACACATGTTGCGACAGTTGTATTGGTACCTTGTCGTTTTCCGCCTTTCGGGACTTAACCCATGCAAGATGGTGATGGCACAAGCAGTAGCAGCAGCGGCAGCAACGAGTCGCAATGATATCAATGATCATACCAAAAGCAACGGACAAAATGATGCATGTTGTAATACATTATCTGAGTCGCATTCTGTTCTTGTAGATGTGAGTGTTAGCGCCAGGAACCTGCGTGACGGTCCCGGAACTGGTGGCCATATTGCCAGCCAGTCCGCCACCCATACCGCCGCCCATGCCACTCATCCTCAGGCATGGCAGGTGTGTTCTGTATCGAACAAGTGTATGATGAGACACGTGGGGTTGTCCACTCAGACACTGCATTCACGCCCAACAACCATCCGAAACAACAGACTGTACACCCGTGTGAATCTGCTCACACCGAGGGGCGGCGGGGCGTTCCAGCCACCCTCCGGCATGACGTTCTCGGCGCGAGGGCGCCCCGTCTTCTGATCCTGACCAGTGCTGGAGGGTGAACGCGGCCTCTGTTGTTGTGGCTTCGTGTGTTGCGGGCCCAACTACCATGTTGGGTGCCCTCCTATCTAGGGCAGCCCCATACTTGACGAGCACAGTGATTCAATTTGTCCGAAAGCTTTGCTTCCACTGCTAGTGCTAACTCCTGCTAACATGATCATCGCGACTGTGACTAGGGCTAGGGGTTTTGGCTCCACGATTTTAAGAGGTTCTACGGGCGACTGTATCGACCCCATCTGGACGAAGCTTGGTAAGCTACCTATCCCTCGAAACCTGGTGAACAGCACCACCACTACCACCGCAGCCTGCACAATGTCAAACTGCACGCGAGTTCCAACTGGTGGGAGCTCGCCGCCGCACGACTTCGGCAGGACGAACATCTCGCCCTGCCCGTATCTAGTGTTAAACAAGTACCACTGCCATGGTCAAAGACCAACAACTTGCTTCGTGAGTTTTGGGGCACTCACAAAGTCTGAGTGGGGCCAAGCGCTACTGGAGCAGGTGTCAGCAGAGCAAGCTTCCAAAAGAACAAGGTGCCTCACCATTATCCTGGTTGATGAAGCCAAACTGTGGTCCACCTGAGAAGCTGGTAGCAGGTCTTGACCCTGGCCGCGTTTTGCTCTTTCGGCACTAACTACTCCACATCTTCGCAGAGCTCGCCCAACTTTCCCTGCCCAGGCGCTCTTGCCCATCGTGCCGGTCTTCATCCCCTGACTCAGGGCGAAGAGCGTGCAACTAGTGGGACCGCGTTTAGCCCAGCATTGTTCATGACTATACACGTGAAGACTACCACACAGCGGTAGCCACGGGACCTACCGGCACTATGACACCATGTCGATTCCTACCTGAGCCCCCGGGCCGATCTGACATTCTCGGCCCGGCTTTTGCCAGTTTTCGGATCTGGGCCGATGTCGAACGCAACGCGGGTTCCGACAGGCGGAATTTGATTTCCTGGCACTGGCGGAAGCTAACTGGACTCGGGTCATGAGCAGCTCTGTCTGTCGTCGAGCTTGTAGCTGTCATTGTCCGCGTAGTAGCACTGCTCGGACAAGACGGAGGCACAGCTTCAACAACAAAAACTGAGAAGCGATCGATCAGCAGTGCATTAGCAAAAGTCTTCTACCTGTGTTAGCAATGGCACAACAACGGCAGCGGACAGCAGCCAACCACGGCAGCAGCAGCAGCAGCAGCACCACCACCACCTCTACCACCACCAGCACTACAACAAGAAGGCGAAGACAAGAAAAAGAACAGGAGTTCGTAGCATGCTAAAAGAGTGGGGCTGATAGACTTTTGCACTTTGATAGAGCCGAGTTTTCAGTTCTGCCGCAACCGATCTAAGTATGCCCCCTCTAGAAACTTGGCGCAAACGTGTCGTCAAGGCCGAAAGCGGCGCAAGAGAAGGGTAGGACCTCGGCAGCTCGAGGGTGTCTCGACGGCTTTTCTGGCCTATAATCATACGACAGATACTACGGCCCGCTAAGGTCGTCGTGGTGGGTGCGAGTTGCTTACTATGGCTGTTCCGCTACGACGATGGCTGTGCCTGCTACGGAAAAGATGCGCCTTCCTCATGCGCGTAAAGCCAGGAACCGTCGGCATTTGAAGCTTAAATCCGACTTGAATATATCCGAATACAGTACGTCAGTTGCACTTTCAATTGCATGTAAGATAACCTCAGGTTTGCAATGTCCGGAACGTCCGATTGTGAGAGTCAGGGGCTGTGGCAAAAATCTTCTCGCCATTATCCTGGTCGATGAAGCCATACCCGTTACCTTGGCTGGTGTTGGCTGGGAAACACGACTCTTTGATGTGGGAGTCCAGGGATTAATGCTCCACTGTTTTGGCCGTTGCTCGTTGCTAAAACACCTCGGCTTTGTGGCACATGCTGTAACGACGAGGTCATCATTGCAGCTTCGACAATTGCATTGATCTGTCCCGTGTGTGCAGCCAACATCTTATACGCAGCTTCAAGTATTAGCCTAAGTTGCTTGAAACTTTGCCTGGCCTACCGCTTGCAAGCCGCTTGGCAAAAGTCACTTCGGCATGGTGAGCGTGTTCCATGCGCATGCCCTTGCACGTGGGCGCTTAAGGTGCACATGCACAGTGACGCTCCGATGGTACCACTGCACGAAACCTCACAACGAAAACTCTGCGACACTCGCCTGCTAAGTAAGCAAGTCCTGCGGACGTGCGAAAACAGTCGCGATTGCAATACAGGTTCAAACGACGTGTGCGTTCTTCAAGCATAGGAGGTTGAGATTGATGTCCACGCACAAGTCGAAGATGCATCGCAAATCGACGGCACCAGGGCCCGGACAAACTTTGCCAACGACCTCAATCGCTGGCATGAGCAGACACCAGGCCACAGGAATCGGAATCTAGATGGAGAGTCATAAACGCGTGAAGTACCCCAGACGCACTCCCTCATCAAGTGAAGAGTGTTGGCTCGCATGCTGGGGCCCACACGCCTAGAGTGCCAGTGCCACTGGCCGGAGCCTTCAATCGCAGGAGATGGGCAAGTATGGACAAGCGCGCTTTCAATGAGCTTCAACCAATGTCTTCCGGGAATTGCTTGGGTGCTGCACCCTATAGAAGGGGCTGCAACCCTTGATTCGGGCATTGCATAATTTCGCCCAAGATCCGAACTGCGCTGCCCCCTTTTCCGTTCCCGACCTGGCAGCGCGGCCGTGCTCCGGTATGTCACTTTACTTGTTCGCGCCCTTCCACTGACTTTGCCACGACAGAGGAAGCGACTGGTTAGAGTTAGAGAATGCTACGGCGTCGGCAAGCATGGACATCCAACAAGTGGCACCCCGAGCCTTGCTGGGATCCAAAGGTTGAACCTGAAGACACTTCTGAAGAGTTGGGCTTCAGGTTCACTTTCGACTTTGTCTTGGAGGTTAAGGCCGTCCCAGGCGCCCAAATGCACTGAGGCTCGGCTACGAGGCCGACCTCTTGCTTCAAGGGCGTTGCTGAATGGCAGATCTTCAGAAGAACGCTGACGATTGTGACAGCATGTGGAAGTAGTCCAAGAGCCATGAAGCCGCCATGCAGGTCTTGTCAGCTTATTTTGTAGAGCGTGCCTTATGCAAACAACTTACGAACGCATCCTCCTCCTTCAGTCTGCCCGTACATTGCCGGACGGCTTTGCTCAAAATCCTCTGCTCTGGAGACATGTACAGTCGAGATAGTCGTATCTTCAATTGCGGGTGGCCTATGTATTCAGGCACCCGAGGATCCCCTGTTGTGCATGACACCCCTGAAGCTCCGGACACTCTTATCCAAGGTGCCTTTCAGTGTGGGAGGCCTGTCCGAGGCTGCGGCATTTTCGACCCGAGGGCCGGAATTCTTCGAATCGACAACAACGTCGTACATCACCTGTGCTCCGCTGTCCGATGCAAATCCCCAAGAGGCGCTAGACACGTTCCGGAACCAGCCTTAGGTCACCTCCGACAAGATCATGGCACCCAAGGCATGCGTCGCTTCAAGTCCCTGGAGGTCCTAGATTTGGCCCCCAACCCGACGAAGCTTTTGAAGTTGGGTGCCGCACCCGCGTGCCGACCGGGGGGATGGCGCTCTGGCCAAAGGCACGCTGGAATGAGCCGGGCCTGGGGGAGTGTCAGGCTGAGGCGGCTAAGATGTAAAGGAAATCCACCAGTCAGACAAGAAAACGATTCAGAGCATGAGTCCATGAAACAGTCAAGGGCAGGTGAAGAGGCGAAGAGTCTCACCATGCTTAGACCCCGAAAACGTTGGCAAAGATGAGCATTCGTGTCACGACATCATGTCTCTGATTGATCTCGCATGCCATATGGTCAGGTTTGTCAGGTTTCTGGGGTTGACAAAAACGCTAAGAATACTGGTCATGATCTTAAGTACTTTCTCTTCTCTTTTCGGTAGCAGGTGCTGCAACTGGGTCTGGGACAAGCAGGATATCTTGCTGCCATCATGGTCCTGCGCGATGACGCCATACTCAGCCTGCTGGGGTCATCAGGAAGTTGACGGCGATGCGCAGAACCAGTTAGAGCTACATTTTTCCCTCCTACTTAGCCAGCAAGAGCGAGCCACCACTTCAGAGTATAAGTTCATATTGGGTTTAGCCGAGGAGTAGCGGTGCTACACTTGCTTCTTGTTCTCCGTGCTCCTCGGTTCCTCCCGGAGGTTGAACCGGAATTGCACCGTCCCAACCCATAAACCCTGAAAGGAGGCCGCCGAGGGGCTGAGCTTTCTTGGATGGTGCCACTGAGTGTCCTTGGCCCGTGGAGGAAATTAGACCAACAACAACGCATCTATCCTCGTAGAAAACTGCTGCCACCACAACTAACTACCACCACCATCACCACATCAAGAATACTTGTCGAGATTCGGGCTGTGGCACCAAACCATGCTTGGAAGGGGAACTCTTGGCTTTCATCCCGATTCAATCCAAAGGTTGCAACCTCTTTGCCGCCGAGCCTGGCCGGCTAAACCGCGCACGAATCACGAAGTTCTGGACTTCTTCAACCACCAAAAAGCCTCAGCCTCAGAACCAACGAACCTTCCAAAACCCCGCTCAAGGTGCGTCCCCCCATCCCCCAGGCAAGCATGCTTGAGGACCCGGCCCAGTAGGTTGCTCACCTGTGCAGCACTATCTTGGGCGGTACACGAAAAACGTAACATTGCCAACCGCGAGACTGTTGTTCAACGAGGGAACTGAATAACTTGCGAGCAATTTCGTCGCTGAACTGGTAGGGTCCTTCCGCAAGGTGGTGGAAGCAGAAACGCTCACACTCATCACCATCATCACCCGAACCATCATTGGCGCCACTGCCGTCACCATCCAGCTCCTGCAAGGCTGGCCCACAGTGCGGAGCTCTGGAGTTTGCGACCGGTCTCTCAGCACTCACACTCTCGGAGAGGCTGGGCGAGGCAAGGCATCACCCTCTGGGGAGCAGTGCAGGAGCTACGTAGCAATCTGTAGTATACCTATGTGAGCACTGATCTTACAGTCTCGACAGAGTAGCCCTTACAACACATCAAACACACCCGCATCGCAAGCCTTCCAGAACAGAACGTCCAAAACCTCGCGTGGCTTTGGGGGCGGCCTGGCATGCCTGGCATCGCCGCATCGGATTCCGGGAACACGTTCTCGGCTCGGGTCCGGAGCGTCCTCTCATCCACGACCAACTCATAGCCTCGAGCTGATCATCTTGTCAGAGGACCAGAACTGTCTTTGATTGCCGGCTGGTGTCGATGCTGTACCCACGGTCTGTGATGGGTGATCAGGATGGTGAATCTGTAACTTTAACACGATTGTTTGTGGTTGTGGTGGTGCCAATGCAGGGCAGCCTGAACACCTCACGTCCACCAGCCCTGCTTCAGGGGAAGACGCAGCGAAGCAACGATGCAACAACTCCTAAATGGATCTAACAACCAAGGTTTTGACCCAAGTACTACGGCTTGTAACTGTGCCTCTCAAGCAATGACTACTTTCGCGGGAGCCAATAAAATCAATAGAAGCATAATGTGTACCTGTGCGGGTCAACCATGTGGACTCGAACTCCGGACTCGAGTCGCTTGCACAAGCACCCGAGCGCTGATCCTTGAATCATTCTACCAGTACACTCGCAGGAAACGAGAAAACTGCCACAAAAATATGTCAAACTTCGACGGCCGTACTCTTGCAAACCTTTCTGGGTCAGCGGCGTACCCTGGTCCCAATTGGCGGCAGCAGGTCATTGAAGCCTTTGCAGCCTTGTTAGTTACCGGTGGATGGGGTCAATGAGCCCAAGCCTTGCATTTTACGCAAAATGAACGGGTGACGACTCGCGCAGCTTCGCAGACCGGGCGAGGGTTGAACAAGCGCAGGATCAAGCGAGTTGTAAATGCCTGGCACTGCATGCCTGCATGCCAGCAACTAAGGGACCGCAAAAATGGCACATCCACGGACACTTCACTTGAAGGGACAGCATGTTTGGATCATCTCTCTTAGAGCCTTTAGAACGGAAATCTGGCAGTCGAATTCTCGGCTTGCGATGCTCAAACATCACAGCAGCATGAGTTAAACGTCGGGGTGCTTTTCGGTATGACGAACAGCTCGTCCGTGGCGCCATCCGGCTGGATAAAGCCTTGTGTGCTTGGTCCATCCCCTCTTCGGTCTGCTTAACCATAGCTGGCTGTCTCTCCATTCATCTTGTGGTTGCGTGCGTTTGTGTCTTTACTGCTTCTCCTCCAGCTTCGGGAGCCGTTTGGCTTGACTTGGCTTGGAGAAGTTGGTATTTTGGGTGGCTCGTCCGTACGAGAAGACCTTGCCTTGCTGGGCCTCACGCAACCACCACTTGTAATTCTTGAAATTGCATCAAACGAAGACAAACAAGCAAACAGCCACGCACACACACACACACTCATGCAAACACAAACAAACTAATAAACTAACACACATACCCCAATACCTGTTAATACCTGTGCCTGCATACATGTGTTGCATTAGGTTGGTAGCTGTCCAAAGATCATTGCAAGGATCTCGAGGAGTGGCTGATACGCCCTGACAGACCAGAGACAAGGTGGACTCGGGTTGATCGCCTTGGCGGCACCTCTCCAAACACTCCAGACCAATCCCTGTAACATGTACTCCTTGCAGCATTGGTGCCGAAGGTGCCCAGGTGTTTGATGACCTTGCCTGGCCGCTTCAGTGGCTCTGTTCCCCTTCATATGCGGCCGTATCCACACTCCAGCGGAAGCCCAGACCGTATCCGCACCTGAGCCCCATGGCCCGACCTGCCGCATCCAACCGACTTGGTGGGCTCCTTCACCTCCCTCCGAAACCCTTCAAGCTTTGCCTAACTCCCGACGGCCCAGTTCGAACTCCCAACTTAAATTGTGCGTCTGAAGCATCCACATGGCAGCTTAGACCATAAATCCCAAAGCCGAGCCCGGTCAAACCAAAGTAGCACCTCACATCCCCGCTTATGCCATGGCGATAACTCGTCCAGGCCTGCAAAAACATCACCTCCACCCATCAGTGGGTTCCCGGGACCTTCGGCACTGGTCTTTCGTGACACAGAACCGTTGCGGCAAGTTTCCGGGATTGAAAACTTGGATCTGTGGGACATAGATTTGGCTATAAGGTGCAAAACTGCAGCGAGGTATCTTCCACTGTTGGACAGATTCGGCGCACCTCTGGCCTAGACACATGCAAGCTTCCCCAAGGGTAGTGCTCCGACACATCAACAATAATGCACAATTACTTGCGGGCTTGACTTCGGCCCCCGAAGCAGTGCCGGACGTCCACCACCGATCGAGCCTGCGATGGTTTGCGTCGTGGGATCCATTAGCACCTGCTCAAGCTGGAATTGCGATTTTAATGATCCCCTGGACGGGCCTTGGTTCTGTGCACATAGCGGTTAGCGACAAGTGTTGGAGACACCAAGTGTTACCAGTACCACCAACCGCAAAATCGACATCGTGTCCATGTTTGGGAGGTCTTCTCAGTCAGTCATGGGATGTCCATCTAGGCCTGAATATCTTTGTGCAGTTGTTCTCGGGATCTGAAGACTAGTCAAGGGCTGCAGATGCGGGGGCATCTCGTCGCGGTGCGTAAGTCCTAAAGCCCCGAGTTCAAACCTGCATAGACTTGTCGGGGCGATTCAGGAGCTCCGAGCCCTTCACCAAAAGCCTGGTCAAACAGGCGGCTCGGGCGAAGCCGCAGCTACTTCCCGCTGTTTCCCGCAACGCCGGCCTCCACAAGCCTATCTGTTGGGCGTCAAGACGGCGCTCTTGTGGTTTTGAAAGGGGCGACAAGTGTTACTATGGCTGTCATCATTGTGGCTAACATGGTCATGCTGATGCACCAATGTTTATGGCGATCTACCTATGTGAAGAAACATCGCAGTCAGTGGGCTGGGCTAAAGCTTTGTGAGCAGAGGTGCTGCTGTGACGCCAGTCGCAGTAACCGTAGACATGCCGACTTGTTGGGTCTATGCGTTTCCTTGCAGCCAATGGCAGCAGATTCTGCGAAATCGAAGCTATTCATTTCGTCGACGGACCTGTCGTCGAAGGTGTGGTTGTTTGCATTGGCGGTATGTGTCTGTGTGTGTGTGTCACAATCTTCACTCTTGCCGCGGCCACGGTAATAAGTATTCAACCCGAAGCTTCATGACCATGAATTAAAACATCATTACTGCTGGCTTTACCCCATGGCCGAACTGCACCCCTTGGTCTGCTAACATTTCTCACTGTCATCGTGCCGAAGGTGCATCTCAATTCTTTGTTCTGGCTGCTCACGCGGCGTTTAGGGCTTCTCGCCGTTTCTGTGTCTTTGTTGTGCTGCACTTCGCGCAGCACGAAACGAGCACATCCCTGAGGGCATCAGATCTCAAAGATCAAAGCTGCGAAATGTTGTTTAGGCCTTGCTGTGGGCGAACTCCGGTCTGTTGCAAGGCTATTCGGAAGCTGTCCTTGAAAGTCTATTGTCGCAGCTTTGTGAGTTTCCATTCAAGGGAGGCAGGAAGCCACTGACTGTTGGGAACTCGGTGCATTATCTGTGCAGCCTGCTCCCAGGCTAGATTTCCGCAGGGTTTGTGTGACTGTCTCTGTCAAGGTCTACCGATCCGTGTTACAATACAGAAGCCGTGTTGCTGCCGAGCCAGAAAGGCTCTGATGCCAATCCACTCATTCAGTGTCTCCTGGGCTGGAAAGACTCCACCGACGCACTGGCGTCATACGTGTCTGCTATGCCAGAGCCCAACAAGCCCGTAGACGAACACCCTGCAGAGAATGACCTAGGGCGATTCCGAACAAGTCGCTATCTGAGAAATGAAACTGCCACCGCGATTCGGTCATTTGCCTTCTTGTTCTTTTTCTTGGGCTTTTGCCTGAGCTCGCGTCTAGTCGTGAGCGCTAGTTTGCTGGGTTCGGCCTTTTCAAGGTTCAAGGGTCTGTGGTTTGGTGTAACGTGCAAAGGCTGTCCGTCAACATCCACGCCCTGAGCTCTGAGCACTGAAACAAAGACAAGTGCCAGTGGATGTTAAAGGGCCGAAACGCACACAGTACCATTGCCAGCTCACGTAGTCAAGAGCAGCTAGTCTAGCAGCCCTGAAACCAAACAACGCATGAGCGATGACAACTACGCTGCTCAAGCGTCTCACACGAATTTTCGCTGGGCGTTCACGCGTTTACGCTATTTGGTTCAAGAGGCTCTTGCAAAGCTGAACCTAGGAGGTCGTCACCACTGGCTTCTGGGAGACGCGCTTCTCCCTCCTGAGTCCACGAAGCATGGAATACTGGGCATCTGCTTTTGGGGGAGTTGGATTGCTTCGGTTCACGATTCAAACTCTCGCAAACGGAGAACCCGGCTGAGCTACTGGATCCCAACGGTGCTCAGCACTCGAATTGCTACAGTAGCGACTGGTGTTCCAGAAAGCGGTGAGATCGCATCATATCGCATGTGGGTTGGAACCCCACGGCTCACACGCCAAGCGATGTTCCAAAGTCCAGAGCATCTGCAAACACGCAAACAACCGCCTTGAAGAGAAAACAAAAGCGAACATAATGAACCTTTTAGCTGTGGTGCGTCAAGAACCCGTACAGAAATCGCATCCACAGGCTCGCCGGCTGCCTCAGCACGAGGATGGCAAGAGGAGAGCGTGCAAGATGATATTGCTCGGAGCTGTCTTAGTATGGGATCATCCCTCTGTTGCAAACGAGACAGGTTGGAGATCACGAATGGAAAGCTCTGTCATCAACCATGAGCAACACCAACACCGCCCTGTATGAAAATAACCCGGAGCTGTTCCAAAGCATGCATGAAAAATGCAGCAGTCCACATTGCTCGCGCACCCAGGAGCTAAAGACCGTTTTGACCAAAATACGCAGGTTCCATTTCTACCCATGCCCACAGCCCAGATCCGCAACCCCCGCCTGCTGCACCTCTGTTAGAGGGTTCTTATTTCGAGGCGCTCTCTACTAGCTATCGTGATGTACGGATTGTACAGGAATACGGGCTTGCATGTTAATGGTCTTGGGCTCCGGGCAGATGGATCCGCTTTGTCTTTCTTTTGCTTCTTCTCCTGCCGCAGGCTCGCACCATGAGCTTACTGAAGCCAAGGTTGACATCGCAAAATCGATATGAGCATGCGTGCAAGTAGCATCACTGCTACTATTGGCATCACCAGCTGCCTCTTGATTTCTCTGCCACCCTCTGCTAACACCTTCATTGAGCTGCGCTACACCTACGATCTGCATACTAGCCTCAACAAAACCGGGACCTTCTCTCTTTCATATCACATTCACCCACCCTCCCAAATCCTGCCCTGAGCGCCACAGTCTATCCCGATGTCCTTCTTCTCCTTCTTTTCCTTCTTCGCCTTCTTCTCCTCTATCTCCGGCTCCTCACCGATGGTGGAGTCCTTGCTTCATGCTCAGAATGCCATTTCAAACAAGCGATGCCCAAAGCATATCCGAAGGCTAAGCTCGCCAGGCAGCAGGTGGCAAGCTCTCTGTGTCCCCCTGCTTCCCCACGACAGTCGAGGAGGGAACCATCACGCCTGCTCTCGCTTCGCAAGCTCCATGCGCTCCAAAGTGCAGCTTTGGGTTGCAGGGGCAAAGTGATAGGAAAGAGGGTCGCTAGAGCCTGGTGTTGGCGTTGCTTCTGTGCCGTCCTCGAGCAAAGTGGTTTTCTCCTGGCACTTGGGGTATTCCGGCTTCTAGCACGACGTAGAACCAAGGGTCTGGCTGGAGCAGAGTGAGAGGGGCGGTTCATGCATCTCCTGCAAGGAGCCTCCTGTGACCCAAACAGTCCATGCCGACACTGTTGTTGAACCCCAGCTTCAGCAAAGACCGCAATCCTCCCTGGACTCTCGACTCAAATCCCCGTCCTGGTTGCGATTCTTCCGCTTGTCCCGTGCCCTCTTGGCTCGAATTCTGGCCTCTTTGGCTCGATCCCGCTTACCTGCACCGACGTAGATGCCACAGTTCCTGGTCGCAGTGCAACCGATTACTATGTGAGGTGAGGTCCCGGAGCTCGCACTAAGTTGCACGATCCACCGTTCATACTTTCACAGTTCGGGCAGGCCAAAAGGCTACTGTATCCTCGCCTCAAAAGCCTGGCCATGCATCCGTTGGAGGGCGGTCCATGATCAGCCGACATACTGACGTCGTCCATGGCGTTCTTCCTGACTGAAGGAGCATCTTAAACTTTTGCCTCTGGGCACCCATGTAGATCAAAATTTAAACATGTTAAACTTTAAACAAGTTAGACCCGAGAAGTGCTTGAAACCCTGATGTCGGCATTCCATCGCGACCAGAATCACAGCGGTGCTGTTCCGGCAACTGTTCCCACAATTTCCCATAGCAACTACCCAGAACATCCCAGAACCCAATTTTTTGTGCTGAGCATCTGGATATGCCGAACCGCAGCGATGCCCAATATCGCGCAGCACAAGATCACAGCACCAGTTATGCCGACGATCATGCCAAGCATTTGCATTGACACCTGTGCCTGCGGCTCAAAGAAGCTGTTGCAATCTGTTGTTGCCTCAGTCCAGGCAAAGGCCCAGTCAACGGCATCCGCTAGGACTGATCGAATCGAGAGTGCCTTTTGCCAAGCGACAGTGTCGGTAGTTGGGCATCTTCCATACTTGTCTTCCTGGTCGATGGGGTCCACAGTCTGGCAGCCACCATCCGTTGAACCATCCAGATTCAAAGTGTCCTGCGTCTGGAAGCGGTCATGCCAAAACGGCACATACCCGTGAACATGCTTGCGTGCTGTATGCAAGGTTATGTTGCGCATCTCTTTTCCGACATCAAGGGGCCCGGCACCAAGTGCACCAAAGCTGACCCAAGGCGAGATCAGAACATGGACTTGGAACGGGGCACCAAGACGAAAGCCACGAACATCTAGGTCGCGGCGATTCAAATGAAATTTGCTCGCCAGTGGAAGGTGGGTTGAGGCTACAATACAAAATTCGGCCGGTGATCAAAGCACAAAACGAAGGACTTTGCCTGAAAGATAGTAGAACAATTCTGATTCATTGCAATATCGGCCACACCGTACCCCATCGACTCACCACAGCTCGAGACACCTGCAGTATCCTTGAGCCTCGTGATGCAAAGCTGTCGCCATTGGGCTTTTGTAGCCTGGAAGACTGGCGACGGGAACGTGGCCCTAGGGCCAGACGATGAGCTGCGCTGCGCGCGACCGGGCTGCCTCCGTGCACTTTCGCTCCACCAGCTCCGCGAGATCTGCGGTGGACTTGCCCAGCGGCTCCTGGCTCTCACAGAGATTCAGGAGGACCTGGGAGAACTTCATGTTAAAGCCATTCCATCCGCCAGTGGCATGGTGATACTCTGACGCGGGGCAGCGCTCGTAGATTACATGCGCCAGCTTGTAGTGGCAGTCCACATCGCTCATCTCATGGCGCTCCTGTTGCAGAATCTGCTGGCAATCCACTAAGTTCACTTCCGAGCAAGCCTCCTTCGCAAGGTCAGCGAAAAAGGCCTCGTCGGCCTCTCGATCCCGCACGACCTCGCTGAGGCGTTTCAAGGCTTTCGCTCGCGCTTCGCTGGTCTCAGCATTCTCAATGGCCCAGAAAGCCTGGGTGACGTAGATGTCTCGGGCGTCCACAGCACCATTGAGGGCATCTGCTGGCTGAGCCAAGAGCCCCGAAGCCTCCACCTTGCCAATGGCCTCGTTTGCGAAGGACTTGTCTCCGAAGCTGCAGACGTGGCTCTTTTTTGTCAGCTTCGTCACCTTGTTATAATTGGGGTAACTCCTTTTAGGGTACTTATAACTCCACTTATAAACTACTTACTAAGTCCCTGGGCCTTGGAGATCTGGCTGCTGAAGGTCTCGGAGGCAAACTTGCCAAGGTCGTCGTCCTGCATCCAATTCACAGAGAAGAGATCTCCCAGGCAAGAGCCGATGTTTTTGCCTCGGACCAAAGCTGCATCCCCACAGTAGGTTCCCCAGGAAGACTCCTGTGCGTTCGAAGCGGTCACTGCGAGGATTTTGCCCGTCTCCTCCAGATCCGGGAACATGGAGCCACTCTCGCAGGCTTCCATGTAGAAGACCATCTGCTTGCGAAGTTGACGAAAACGGTATCGTCGACTTTGCTCTTCAGAACCTTGCCGGCTCCCTGGGTGTTCCCTGTGAGCACATCCATGAAGAGCTGGGCTGTCACAATGTCTCCTCGATAGTCCACCTTGCAGCCCTTATAGACATCCGGGGAGTCATCTCCCGGGCGATTGAACAACTGGCCGGGGAAGGGGTTTTCCAAATCCTGGGCCACATCGTCCTGCATCATGAGTATGATGTTGTCGGCAGGGATGCCACTCTTTAGCATCAGCTGGTAGGCATGACAGGCATCAGCTTGGTGCCTGTAGTTCCAGAAGCCCCTCGAGCCCGCAGCAATCACCGCCCACTTCTCTGCCGCGGCCAGCGCGGGAAGGAGGGCCAGGAAAGCTCGGAGTGCCATTCTGGAACCCTCAGCTAAGCTTGGAGGCGTTGGATGGGCTCGGATTCTGCCTGGTGCTGCTACGCTCGGAAGAAAGACCACGTGGAAAGACAGCTGCCAGCGAATCTCTGCCGACATTGCCGCAACAGTGTAACTATTGGGTTCTGGTGCTGGGTGCAGGCTCAACGAAGCTCTCCTCATTCACGAAGAGCAGCAGCGCATACCAAATGGAGTGCGTGAAGAAGACGCACTCGTCAAAAGCCTCAAGGCTCAAAGTCTGCAAGTTGCATCCGAATCCCAACGAATAGGTTTCATGCGAAGCACGGCCTCCGAAAATCTGAGGCGTCGGCCGCCTTAGCCTCGGTGATGTTTTGATTGTACCTTGCATGAGCCACAAGACATGATGGCAGAAGGAACTTCAAGGTACGTAGGACTTAGCAACTCACTGAGCTGCTTTATCTTCTGCAACTCCTCTGCTCATGACAAGTCGTTCGTACTTCTCTGAAGACTGATGACTGGGAAGTTGCATCTAACCTTCTGATGAGGACATTGATTTTGATTGCTCCCTAGGGCTACTACTACTACTACTACCACCACCACCACCACCACGACTCCTTCTACTCTTCCTGCTGCTACTACTACTACTACTACTACTACTGCTACTACTGCTACTCCTACACCTACTACCTCCTACCTCCTACCTGCTACCTGCTACCTGCTACCTACTACCTACTACTGCTACTACTACTGCTACTACTACTACTACTACTACTGCTACTACTACTACTAGCCACCCCCCCCC